ATAGGTACCTCTCTTGCCCACAGGGGTGTTGAATGCTCTGGATTCCTGAATGGGAGCTGGGCTCAGATCTGCCCCAGCCTCTCAGTGGTTGCGGCAGTGGCTCTGGTTAGTACATATGGGCTTCGAGAGGCTCATTTGATGCTCACAACAGTCTGGTTAGAGCCTACCACATGTGAGGTTTCACCCAGGGGCACAAAGTTGTCCCAGTTTACCAACCTATTGGCTTCTGGGGTTGAAGATTCATGTCATAGAGCCAGCTTAGAGCTTGGAAGAGAGGTAGACTGTGAAGCAGGCAGGACCTAGGGTGGAGGAAAGGAGTGGTGGCCCAAGGTCCTTGGTCATCCCAATTCTGTGACCCCTGATGCCTAGAGTGTAGCTGATGCCTAGAGAGGGTGGGGGCCAGCACAGGGCCCGGGAAGTGACAGAAACCTGTGCTGTTGAGACTGATCACACAGGCCCAACTTCAGTTCTCTTGATTCTCTTCCGCCTCTTTCCTTGTCCTGGGGTCTTGTACCTGAGATTCTTCTCCTCCGTCTTACCTACTTCTTCTCCTTCTCTCCTTCTCCTTTTTCTTTTAGGCGAGGCAACCCTTGGTTGACCTCACAGATTGCAAGGACCTTGTCAGCTTACAACCCCTTATTTATTTATTTATTTTTTACACCTACAGCACCTGGTCTTCCTAGGTGGTTTCTCATCCAAGCACTAACCAGGCCCGACCCTGCTTAGTTTCCGAGAGCAGGCGGGATCGAGCTTGTTCAGGGTGGCATGGCTGTAGACTTACCTACTTCTTAAAAAGGCACACAGAGATAAAGCACGGCTCATCTTTCCATTATTGGCTTAACTTGGCCTTGGGGTACAGCAGGGTCCATGCCTCCTTGGACCTACAGGCTTCACTGTCCCCTCTTGGAGCTCCCCTCAGCCTTAGGGGAGACCAAGCGGAGGCCAGCCGTGATGCCTTCCTGCTGCTTATTGTGGACATTGCCTTGCAGAATGAACTGGATAATATCAGAGCCCAGCTTTCCCAGAAAGGTGAGTTAGCAAGAAACAAGGGGCCCTGGGAAGCCTATGACTTGGGCACTGGCGGGAGAGGCCCTGGGAGGAAGGCCTCCAACTTTGTGGCAGAGCTGGGGGCTCTCCTTGCTGTCTGTGTCCAAGAGTCTTGCCAGCTCTTGCGATTGGCAGAAAAGGAGAGGAAAGGGAGGTCACTGAAGTCTTCCACTTAGACCAGATGAACCTCTTCCCATTGTCTGAGGCTTCTTGCCCAGGACCCAGGCTGGGAGGGGGCTACCTGCTGTGACGGAGTACTTGTAGGTGAGGGTTCAGCTGCCAGTTTGGCAGGAACCTGCATGAGTTCTAGGATGATGAATTAACTAGCCCCATGGGAATGGGGAGCAGGGAGATCTTTACTCAGATAGTTCTAGGCAGTAGAAAGAGGGTTTCATGCCCTGAAAGAGGAGATTCTGTCTTGGCTTCCCTGGTTTGGCACATGCCAGAAAGAGAAGCCAGCCCCCCAACTTTCTGGCCTAGGACTTGTTCCTCATGTGACTCTGGGGTGGGGTGCTGCACCCAAAGGCCCAGCTTCTCATGCTGATGGGTGGTCGGGCCTCTCCCCTCTCCAACCTCCATCCCTGCTCCAGAAAGGGAGAAACGGGACAGCCAGGTCATCATCGACAGTCTGCGGGACACACTGGAAAAGCGCAACGCCACTGTGGAATCTCTGCAGAAGGCCTTAGACAAAGCTGAAATGCTGTGCTCCACCCTCAAGGTGGGTCCCCACGTCCTGTGGGCACAAGTTGGTGGGGAGATAGAGCCCCAGCCCTGGGCTCATCCCTCTCGGCTTAGCTTCTGGTCCTGCCTTGGTCAGTGGCCAGGTTTGCGCAATTGTGAAATGGAGGCAAATCCCTTCCCCAGGCCTCCCATACTGTACCCGCCCAGCCCGTAAGAAAAGGGCCACATTGGCCACACTCTTGGATCTTGTATTAGGTAGTACTAGGAGGAAGTGAGGCCTTCCCAGTGCTTCATGGAGGGGCTGCTCGGCCAAGACCTCGCTGAGGCTGAGCCATGTTTCCAAAAGTGGTTTGTACTCCACTGACGAAGCCAGCCTGTAGAAACCTCCATTCGCACTCTAGTCCTTGGCTGGGCTGCTCTCCGGGGCCAGATCAAACAGTATTCCAGGGAGGAACAGAGGCCTTTGAAGTTGACTGTGCGGAGCTGACCGGGTAGATCAAAGTCTGCAGAGCGAGCCGTTCTAGACCCAGATGAATTTTGTATCAGCCTGGGCTGTTGAGCTTCTTGCTCTCCAAGGGGCATGAGGCGATTGATCTAAACCCACAATTGATATTCTGGCCTTGTAGGCAGGAGCAGTCCTTTCTGGATGCCCTTTGAAAGGGAAAAGGAGCCATCCTTGTGAACAGACAGGGCCCCAGGGTGTTCATTGTCTCTGTTTCTGTTTGGTGGCTGGTCTGGATCACAAGTTCGGCCAACGGAAGGGAAGGAGCAAACCAGCACCTGGCTGCAGAGCAGGAGTCTCTGATGGCATCCCCAGGGTAGAGATGGAGTGGTCTTGCGCCGGCTGTCCAGCCAGCTGCCTTTGGCTCAGCTCTGCTATCCTGGCCACTGTTCATGGGTCTAGATGGTGGAGAATGAGGCCTGGATTTGTGCTTTGGGCTTCTTCAGCTTCTTGCACGACGCGTACCATGAGGCCCAGGCCACAAGGCCTTGGCAGTCCACAATGGACCTGTGGATGCTGGTAGTGGGCTGAGCATATGGTGAGACATATCTCAAGAGGAAGCAAGCAGGGAGGTGAGGAAGCTGCTGGCCTAGGGCCTCTTAGCAGAAAGAAACACAAGCTAGAGTGGGGCCCCCCAGCCTTATCTTCTGGGGGTTGGGGATGTGTGGTTATTAGCATCTTCAAAAACAAAAAGTTCTAGGGTAGAGCTTTCCCAATGACGTTAGCCATGGCCCTAGGATCCTCCAAGCAACGGGTATGTATGGGTGTGTTTGCTCTTCAGAAACAAATGAAGTTCTTGGAGCAGCAGCAGGATGAGACCAAACAGGCGCGGGAGGAGGCCCGCCGACTCAGGAGCAAGATGCATTCCATGGAGCGGTAAGCTTGGGTGGCCCAGCTCTCAGGACTGTAGCAGGCGTTGGGTCACCTCTGTGGCTCAAATCTCCATGGGCCATAGAGGGCTCAGGCCATCTGGATGTGGGCACAGGGTCTCCTTGCTCAGCCTCTATGGGCTTCTCTACTTTCTGTGAGGGCCCTCTGGGGATCCCTGACCTTGAGGACCTCTGTCAGCCCCGCTTCTTCCGCAGCAGCATCCCTGCACCTGTGCTCAGCTCTGCTGTGGGGCCTTTCTTTGGGCAGACCCGCCTGCTAAAGCATCCTAGCAGCCTAGCCTGTCACCATAGCAACAGCAGCAAAGGGAGGCAGAGCTGCACTGGGTACCTACCCATCAGCCTCCAGATTTTAAATGCCGTGGGCTGAGTGTTTTTCAGGATTGAGCTCCTACTCCAGAGCCAGAGGCCCGAGGTGGAGGAGATGATTCGAGACATGGGTGTCGGACATTCAGCGGTGGAGCAGCTGGCTGTGTACTGTGTGTCCCTCAAAAAGTGTGTATTTGGGCCCCTCTGTCCACGCCTAGGAGCTAAGCCATAGTGCCTCAGCCATGCCTTGCATCTGTTGCCCCTCTCTTGCAAAGCAAAGTAGGTGGAGTTAAGGGGCAAGTCCCAGAGCCAAATGGTCTGTTTGAACTCTGACCCCACTTCTCACTGTGTGGCCAGGAGCCAGTTTCTCAGCCTCTCTGACCCTTAGCTTCCTGAATGGAGATAGTAATAACCTGCCTCATAGGGTTATTGAGCAAACTGAGCGTGAATTAAAGTTTTATTTCTAAGGAGGCTGGCACAGCTCTGTGAACTAAGAGCCCCGTCATGATATCTGGAGCCGATTCCCATCAGCACTGTTACTGAACCTGCCTGCCTTGCAACAGAAACTTGGCTCAGATTCCCCAGTACTGTGGGAATGGTGTTGGGGAAAGGGCCATTTAGCTGACAGTCACAGAGGATCCCAGATGCCCCCCGTGGGGGCTAGGTGGTATAGGGAGCCTCCTAAGTGAGGCCTCCTCATGAAACCGGGGCTTCTTGCATACCCTCTCCAATCACCAGCGCCTGCAGGACAGGCAAAAAACAGACTCGCCCGCTGTCCTGGCGATGGATGCAGGCCTCCACAGAGCCCCCCTGTTGGGCCCAGGAGTTGGAGTAGGAAGGAGGATGTGTAAAGGCTGGGGCTGGGCTGTTGGGTTGGTGCTCTGGCTCAGTCTGACCAGCAAGGTGGCCCATTCTGACATCTTTCCGTGGCCCCTTTGTAGAGAGTACGAGAATCTAAAAGAGGCTCGGAAGGCCTCAGGAGAGCTAGCTGATAAGCTGAAGAAGGACTTGTTTTCTTCCAGAAGCAAGGTAACTTAGTGAAGAGCAGAGGGGGAAGGGAGGTGTGGCTGTCCTTTTTTCATGCTCATTCATGTCTCCTGAGCAAGGCCCTGGCGCCTGATGTTGCCACTGACTCCATGGGGCTATTGGGTAATGCACAGAAACTGGTTACAGGTCCTCACTGGGCACTGGCTCTGGCTAAGTGGCTTGTCCACTTAGGGTGGCAGGTCACGCCGGTACTCTCCCAACTCGTGCACGCTTACATTCCCCTCTGCTCTTCTTGGCTCCTGGCCACCTCTCAGCTGGCTGGAGAGCAAGCTCCCAAATGGGACAGCTTCAGAGGTCTGTGTTCGTACCGGGCCCAGAGCAGGAAGGCTCCTGGAACCTGATACAGTCAGCTTGGCTGCTTTTATTTCCGGGCTTGGTGCACCCATGGGCTACAGGTTGTAGGAAGCAGCCCTTGTTCCTGCGCAGCTCCAGACGGACATTTCCAAACTAAAGCCCAGCCCCACAGAGCTAGTGTCTTTCCCCGTACTCCCACACTCTTCTGGACCCTGGTCTACCGTGAGCACGCACTGGGTAGCAGAGGGCAGGGGCAGGGCACATGGCCGCCCCTTGCTCATCCTCTACTCCCTACACCTTCTTATAGTTGCAGACAGTCTACTCTGAACTGGACCAGACCAAATTGGAGCTGAAATCGGCCCAGAAGGACTTACAGAGCGCTGACAAGGAAATCGCGGTGAGGGTCACCGCTGGCCAGAGTGGCATGCAGAGCTGGGCTAGCTCTGCCCGGGAACCTGTGCACCAGTCAGTGGTGGTGGTTCTGGGCTCCCTGCATCCTCCCGGGTCAGGGTGGGTCACGATGTGCACCTTGACCCTGATCTGGAGCCTGGGCCTCGGCTGAGGGCAGATAGCACCATGGGTCTTCCCTCACAGTCTGTCCTCTACCTACATTCCTGAGGTCACCAGGGGAGGGTCACCAGAGAGAGGTGCTGGGGCCTGGTGGTCCTAGACTCCTGAGACTAATGATGGGGTTCCAGGCCTCGCTCTGTTCCCCGTGGGCTCGCCCTTCTTGCGTGTTACTCATGTCCTTGTCATTCTCTCGGTGTCTCAGCCTTTCTTTCACACTCTTCTCCTTCCTTCCTCAAGAGCCTGAAAAAAAAGCTAACAATGCTGCAGGAAACCCTGAACCTGCCGCCAGTGGCCAGTGAGACTGTCAACCGCCTGGTTTTAGAGAGGTTCGTTGACCCTCTGGGATGGTGCAGGGACCCCAAGCTGGAAGAGCTTCCTGGTAAGGGTCTTTGCTCCTGGCTTTGGTGGGGCAGGTGGTCCACGTGGGTGTGAAGCCTGTGGACCTCCTGCCCTGGGAGGCAACCAAGATTTAGCTGGAAAGCAGATGTGAGGCAAGTTCTGATCTCTGACAAGGGGAGGCCAGGGGAGGCAAGGGAGGACCTAGAGATGGTCAGAGGCAGGGCAGGAGCACTGACTGTCTGGGGCAGCCTGTTTATGCAACAGCTCACCAAATGCATCTGTCTGCCCCGGGTTCTAAAAACAAGCAAAATCCTTCACCAAAACAAGTCCCCTCTGATCTTGGGAATGTGTGCATTAAAGCTGCCAGCAGAGGGAGCCAAGAGGCAGAGCTGCCCAGCTGAGGGCCCAGATAGAAAACACTGGAGCCAAGGACCAGCCTTTTGTTTGAGTTACTTTTCAATGTCCTTTGGAAAATCATCATGCCCCCTCTTCCCCACATCCAGCCAGTTGCTGGAGCCTGTCCGTCTAACCTCTGCGGTGCCTCCTGCCCCCTTTCTTGCTACCACCTCCCCATATGGCTTGTGACCCGTCTTCCTGCTCATCCTAACAGCCCAGCTTTATCAGCCCCTGGGTATCACGCTACTCCTCCTCCACCCAACACCTCCCAGACCCCTTGGCACTGTGCCTAAGGCACCCTGGAGCCAGCCTTGAGGGCTGCGGTGGATCTTTAGGCTTTAGCCAGATCATACTGTCAAACGCAGCGGAGCGCTCCTTGCCTTCCTGCTTCTCTGCCTTCCTGTGCATCTCTTCTCCACTTTAGGCTGCTGTGGGGCCTGGACTCTCGCAGCAGGTCCTTACTGAGTGCCTGCTGTGCGTCAGGCTCCCCCTGTCCTCTTGGAACCTGAGGGTCAGTGGGATAGACAGCCTTGGGAGTTAGATGGTGAAGCGCCGAACCACATCATAGAATTTGGTCTGTAGCTCCAAGTGGAGATGAGCCCACTCCATTCCGAGTGGGCCCCGTGCCAGAGCCCGCAGCCCGCAGCCCGCCTTGGCACAGGGAGGACTGCTTCGGCTCCCCCATCTGCCAAGCCAGCAGGACACCACATCTGACAAGCCTACATCTGTACAAAGCTGGGCCTGGCCTGCCACCAAGCTGCATGCAGGATGACTTCATTCCTTGTTTTCCCTAGTATTTTTGTGAGCATAAAAATTGGGTGGCAGGTCTGTCGCTTTTAATGTTGGCCCTTCTTTTAACTAAGCACAGCCTGTTCTAAATTCAGGGTCCTCTCCTAGGGCCCTAAGCTCTCAAAAATAGTCGTCGAATTCTCAGCAGCTTTGCCCCATCTTCTTTGTGTTCTGGTGTCAAGACCCTCAAAACTACAGGACCCCTTAAAGACCCTACCTCCACCTTTCCCCTATGATAGTTGACAGATTGCTGTGTGGGTCTGGAAGAAGTCTAAGCTTTCCTGATATATCACAATATATAGGCACATTCCATTAACCAGTATTCAGATCTGAAGGAAGGGCAGTCCAGGCAGCGAGAATGGCAGGTGCAAAGGCCCTGAGGCATGACTGAGCAAGGTGTGCTTGGGGGAGAGGGGCAGGTGGCAGGTGGACCAAATCTCTCCAGGGCTTCACAGCCTGGGATTGTGGGTTTCATTCTAAGGATAATGGAGGCTGTTGAGGGTACTCAAGGAAGATTGCTCTGGTGGGACTGTGCGCATCTCTGATTTTCATCCCCTCACCCATCAGTGGTTCCCTGAACCTGCACTCTAGCCCAGGGCGTACCAGGTCACCAGCTTGATGTACCCTCCTAGATCTCTGCTTCATTACAGATAAAGATCCCAGGAGACATACGTAGTAGTTCGGGGTCATTCAGGGTTTGATTTTAGGTGTTTCTTAGTACTTTGGTGTCATTCTATAACTTTTAAAATATGGCTCCCTGGAATGCCTTTTCAGATTAGTCTGCAGAGATCCATGGTCTCCCTCCTGCCACCTAGTGCGTATGGAGCACACACCATGTTCGCCCAGGCACCCACCCACCTCAGTAGATAGCCAGGGCAGTTCCAGCTTTCCAAGCTGTCAGAAAGCATTGTAGGGAGCACCCGAGTTTGCGGGGGAGAGGTGAGCTGGCAAGGCAGTCATCCCGGGACTTCCCCGACTCTCCCGGGTGGGAGCCACTGTTTCTTGTATCTCATATCTTACCCTTTATCGATCAACTTCCTTGCTTTGCTAAAGTTCAGAAAGTTAGCCTCCCTCAGGACCCTGCAGTCGCTGCTTTCCACCTGTCTAAAATCCAGTGTTGCCACTGAGAAATCGATGCCTATCTGCTTCTTAATCCTTTTGTAGAAAAGCAAACCTATTTTTCCTCTCGGGAGAGTTTTAGGCTACTTCCTCTGCCCTCGAGCTTCTGCGACTTCCCCACGATGCTTCCGAGTGGGTCTTTTCCATTGACCCTCTGGCCCTTGGCATGATCTTTTAGTGTGAACACACGAGTCCTTCGCTCTGGGAACTTTCTCATGCTGTTCCTTTGAGACTCTGCGGCACTCTGGTTTTTCTGGCCTCCCTTTCTGGAACACCTGCAGGTCTAACATCTCACCTCCCGGGCGGGTCTTTCATGGTTTTATCTTTGTGTTCTGTTACATTCTGGGAGATTTTCTTAATTTTAATTAGAATTTCTTAATTTTCATAATTTTTAACTTCATCGATCTACTTTTTATTGTGGTAAAATATAACACAAAATTCACCACTTTAACCATTTTTAAGTGTATAGTTCTGTGGCATTAAGTACATTCACATTGTTGTGCAGTCATCATTGCCATTTATTTAGAGGACTTTCCATTTTCCCCAGTGGAAACTCTACCCATTGAACACTGACTCTCCATTCCCTCCTCTTCCGACCCCTGGCAACCACCATTATGCTTTATTTTTTTAATATTGAAAGTTCTCATCACAAAAAAAAGCATGTAATATACCTAGAACTAATGTTATATCGATTACCTCTGAGAGAGAGGGAAGGAGAGAGGGATGGAGGGAAGGAGAAAGAGGGAGAGAGGACAATTAAATGTACTGTGGTCTCTGGGATGGGATTCACTTTTCACCACTTGATGTGGAATCCACTTGATTTCCTTTCTGCCTCCCCATCTGGCATACACGGTCCAGTGCAGTAGCCATTGGCATTGTGTGGCTGTTGAGCTCTTGAAACGTAGCCAGCCCAACTTGAGATGCACTTGCAAGGCAGTGATAGTGGTAGTGGTGGTGGCAGGACAGATAGGGGCAGGCAACAAGTATGCACTCAACAAGAGGTACAGCTCTTTGGCCGCCACCTTCCATCAGCCCCTATGGGCCGAGCCATAGTTGGCCCCCTCTGTGGCCATCACCAGCTCCCCGTGCCTTTACCACCTACTGAGCCCTTCACAGGCAATGCTGGCCCTCTATTTTCTGTCTCTATCAATTCGACTACTCTAGCAACCTCATATAAGTGGAATCAAATAATATTTGTACTTTTGTGACTGGTTTATTTCACTTAGTGTATTGTCTTCAAGTTCATCCATGTTGTAGCATGTGTCAAAATTTCCTTCCATTTTAAGCGATCACATTTTAAATTTGCAAGTATTCTTTCTTGCTCTCTGAGTGCATCCTTTGCAAAATATGCTATTCCTTGTTTTATGGTCTAGCATTTTTGTTTCTCTTGGGGTCAGTGTTTTTAGGTCATGGCCTTTCTCTTAGACTTCCGTCCCATGCCTGGGGGTCCTTGGCTGCCTGTGACCCTCTGAGGAGGAGTAACAGAAAAACTGCCTGGGAACCTAGCCTATGTGGATAGGGTTTGCAGGGAGTATGCAATGAACCGACATCACACTGAGTCTTCCCAGAACCTAGGATGCAGAGAGCTTTACTGGTGGATCCAGTACAGGATGCCCTAAGTCGCCATAGATGGTTAGCTTGATGTCTTTGGGAAAGATCCTTCCATTTCTTGGCCCATGGTAGCAGCCTGGCTGCCTGGTCTTCTGCCAGTCCAGATATAGTAAGGGGTAGAGCCAAGCTCCCACCTTCCATCATTACCCCAGTTTTCAGGCCTGTTTAATGCTCCTGCACATCTAGACCTTCCCTTAGTCCCCCTCTTGCATTTATAGCCCTCTCCTGTGGGTTCTGGTTATTGTGTAGTTCTGCTGTCCCCTGGCCATGCTCCCTCCCAGAATTTTGGGGAAAGCTGTGGGTACTGAGGGTGGTTGCCCCTTCCATTTGTTGCAGTAAGATTATCCTTCACTCCTGTCATTTTAGGGAGGCTTCAGGAGGTGACTATCACCCCCAACTACAGAGGGGGTATTCAGAAGACCTCTCTCAATGAACTCTAAGGGCCCCTGACCTCCAGGTGGAAGGGAGTTGGCGAAGCCTTTGCTTAGAGTAGGCTGGCCAGGTGCCATGAGTTCATGGAGGACACATTGACTGCCTCCATGCCACACAGGTGATGGGTCTGCCCAGGGCCTTTGTTCTATTTTGGGAAGGCGGGCTTTGAATCTTTTGCTCCACTGCCTGACGGGCTGTCATCCTGGGCTGCCACTGTGGCCTTGAGTAACCAATCTATCTGTGCCTGTAGCCCAGCGCCTGTGGAGATGCTGAAGCTTCGCCGGCCAGTCTTCAGTGATGATATCGACCTCAACGCCACCTTTGATGTGGACACCCCGCCAGCCCGGCCCTCCGGCATCCAGCATGGCCAGGCCAAGAAGCTCTGCACAGAGAAGACACAGTAAGTGGTGGTCTCTGGCCCTGTCCATAGGAGGGCTGGAGATCTCTGCAGGCCCTGTCCTAATAGCTCTGAGTGGCTGATGGGGCAGTGAGGGTCACCTGGGCTTGGTTGGCCATGGCTTTGGTTCCAGACACCTTCTTTCTTCTCCTGAGTACTCACTATGCCAAGCCTTCCTCTTGCTTATCTCATTAATATTCACCATCATCCTTCAAGAAAAGATGTTGGCATGTGACTTGGAGAGAACACAGAGGTTCCAGTGGGGGCAAGTCTGAGCTGATGATATTGGGGGGGTGGGCTCCCAATATCTTGAGAACCTGCCCACCAGAGCCCTGAGCCATGGACTCTGAACTTTCTCTTCCATCGTGAACCTTTCAGATTTATGCTTGGGCAAGACCATATCAAACCGTGGAGCCCGGGGCCTCACCCCCTACCTACGGGGAAGCCCACAGGGGCAGGTATGAGAAGCTGTGTGGAACCATAGTGGGGTGGGCAGGACCTGCACTAGGGATGCAGTGAGACTGGGAGTGGGGAGGCTGTCTGCTTGGCCAGGCAGGCCAAGTGTAGTCGATCGTGGAGACAGGAACTCCTCTCACACGTACAGGTGGGTATGTGCTGCTCATATAAAGGAGGTCAAGGGCTGAGCAGGTTGCCTCTTAATTGAAGGCTTTGGATGTGAGAGAGAAATTGAGACATTGGGCAGTGGAGTTGGATGAGGCCCCGGGGGAGGGCAGAAGGGAAAGCCAGCTGGGCTCTCCGCCCCTCCCGGACCTCAGGGGCAGAGGTGCCAGAGCCGTACAGGGCCAGCGAGAAACCTAGGAGACGTGGGCTGTATGTAGTCAGGGGGCTTGTCCGCTCCACACTCGGGCTTCCTCGGGTTGCCTTTTCTCTAGCTGTAAAGGTTGAAGGTGGGAAGCCAAGGCCTGCAGGGCATGAGGGTACCCAGGACGCCCCCGATCTGGGTCACCCTCCCCAGGCCCAGTCTCGCAGCAGGTGGAGAGCCTTGCCATGGTCTTCATGTAGCCTCATCACAGGCTATTTGGGCAGGCGCAGAGGGGTCCAGAGTCAGCAGGCTGGGATCCTGCCCCTGTGCTCATGGCTTTGAGAAGCCACCAGGTCACCATCTTCCCACCCACCTGGGAAGGTATCCAGCTGCTAGGGTCCCCAGGAATTGGATGGAAACAGTGTGCAGCTCTGGATCTGGGAATGGGGACCAGGGCCTGGACCCATGGTCTGTCTGTTCTGGCCCAGACCCTGCCCGTGTGGCTTATCTAGCTTGTCGAAAAAGATGGCTGAGCCCCGCATCCTGAGAGTACTCTGCGGATATTTAACTCACCGAGGGTCTCGTGGAGGTGGTGGCCCCTCTCTGGGCAGGCAGAGCGAGCCCCAAGCTCACAGATGCCTCTGTATTAGGGCATGAGCGGCTTTCCTCCTGTGGGTGGTGTATCAGTCAAGCTTTCCACCCCATGTAGAGCCTGGGACACGGCGAGATGCCTGAGGGCTTGGCTTAGCTTAGCCCTGATTGGAAACCACAAGATCAGAACATGGTCCGGCCTCTCCTGCCTCTGCCACGGGCGACTGTGGCTGTCCAGCTGTTCACAGACCTGTGCTTGGGGTGGGGGGTCACTGAGGCACCTTGCCTAGCACACAGCCATGACAGCCATGCCACGCAGTGGCTCTGCAAGGGGCAGTGCCTTGTTTCTTGTGTCTTGCTCACCAGCCTCTTGCCTTCCTGTCTCACTCTTGCAGCTCTTCTGTTCAGGACATTCCCAAGAAAGTGCCCAAAGGCCCCAAGCAGGTAAGGCTGCCCAGAAGGAGCTCAGGCAGTCACCATCCAGCCCTGTGCAGCAGGACTTCGGAGAGGGCAGGGCCTTGCCACAGCCCCTTCACTCCTGGCCCAGGACTGAGGCACTTTGGAGCCACCCCTGGAACCCTACTCATTATCCTTCCTGCCTCCCAGTGAGGCGCCAGAGATCCTGATCCTGTTCCACTGCCACGCCCCGCCCCCCGCCGTACTGCCATCCAGCTCATGGAGTCTGGCTCTGGGGTCTCCCTGCAGGAGTCCCAGCTCTTGCTGGGTGGCCAACCCTGTGCGGGAGAACTGGATGAGGAGCTGGCTGGCGCCTTCCCCGTCTTCATCCGGAACGCTGTCCTGGGCCAGAAACAGCTCAAAAAGCCCAGGGCAGAGCCCTGTCACAGCACAGATGCAGTGAGTATGGCTTCCCACAGTGGGAAGTGCCAGCCCTCTCTGGGGCAGTGGCGACTGGCTGACCAGCCTCCCCGTCCATCAGCCTGGCCCACTCACTTCTTCTTTGTCCTTTAGGTAAGGACAGGTTTCGATGGTCTTGGAGGCCGGACAAAATTCATCCAGCCTGTATCCTTATTCTGTGGCACTGGCTGAGCTGAGCTGTAGAGCCCACACCATCCCTCACCTGTATCCCCACACCCAGCCTGCCAGGAGCTGCAGCCTCAGGTGTGCAGCGCCAGACCTCGCTTAGCACAGCAGGGCGGCCCACCCTTAAGTCTCAGCTTTTCCTGCCCTGCGTTCCAGTCCCCTCTCGAGGCTTTCTCCTTGACATTTCCTTCAGACTGACACAACTATGATCCGCCCACTGCCTGTTAAGCCCAAGGCCAAGGCTACGCAGAGAGCGGGGGCCAAGAAAATGCTCCTCCCGCCATCCCAGGCCAAGCTGGACACCTTCCTGTGGTCGTGAGACCAGTGAGTCTGGTCAATGGCCAGATACCTGCCTCCGACTCACAGGCCAAAGACTGGCTCAGTCGGGGCCTGAGGTCATGGCACCTGTTCCAGGAACAGCCTCGAGAGCAATGAGAGGCAAGAAGATGGGGCTGAGGGTGAGGCCCAGAGATGGCGCTTTCGCTACACTTACCCTGCCCCACCCCCACCATACTGGGCTGACCTGTGGGAGCTGCGACCAGCTCACTGTTCTGTGTCAGGGCTTGCTCCTGTTCATGGCCATGACCAGATGTGGTTGGGCTGCTGCTGATCCTCCAGACCGGGGTCATTTGTTGGACCAAAGGGCTTGAGGCTTCTCAGGCAGCTTCTGCCTGCCTCCGACTTGCTGCTAGGCATGGCCTGGGCCAAGCAGAATGGGGAATGGGGGATGGTTGTGGGGGAGAAGTTGCGGGGGGCAGATTTCTATGTTAAAAGTAAAAATGATAGACTTTCTTCTTCCTGGCTCTGGGAGTGTACGTTTGTCCTTTGGAAAACTGTTTGGCATGACTTTCTAAAGCACAAGCTTCATCTGGACTCAGACGCAGCGGTTCCGCCCTTAAGCATGTATGTGCCCTCTCATAGCAAGAATGAAATCACTGCAGCTTTGTCTGCAAACTCTAACCTGGGCGCAGCCTAAAAACCACGAGCAGGAAAGGAAATTGGTAAACCAAGGTCTAGTTACAGGGAACTCACAGCAAGCACAACAAATAACCAGTGACACCCCCCTGCCTTTCCCGCCTCAACTCTGCCGGCCAAATTGCCAGCCTTTGGGTCTTAGCTTCAAGAGCACTTCCTCCTAGAAAACTTCCCTCCTTGACCCCCAGCTTGGGTGAGGCCCCCTAAAATTCCCCCTCACTGCTATCTGGGAGTTCACCTACTCCTGCAGGGCCTGGCATGGGCCTGACACAGGGAATGAGAGGGTAAGTGACTAATTCAGGCCGAGAGTGGCCCTCTGCTCTCCAGCAGATCTGGGGAACATGGGGCTTCATGGGGACACAGACACAATTATAATCAACTATTTCAGACTCTGGAACCTGATCAGGCAACAACAAGGAAGATACTGAATGAAGGCAGAGCCTGTGCTTGAACCAGCCACCAACCCCCATGCCGTAGCCCCTGGGGGTACGAGCTCCAGTTCTGAAAGCAGCTGATGGGTGCCAGGGCCGGGGCGGGGACCTTGCCCTCCAAAAATTTGGAGTTGTGTGTTTTGGCGAATCTGATGATACCCTGAGATACTTGCCTTGGGGTCAGCCTTCTCGGCTGCAGTGGCTTGCCTGGTGGCAACATCTATCAGAGGATTTAAAGGGCCAATGTGGTGCCCGGTGCCTTTTTGTTATTGTTGTTAGCTAGGAAGTCTTTGTCAGGCACTTAGCTGACTGCAGAGATAACGGAACAGAAACTTCAGTGACCATATGCAAGGAACTCATACTTTACAAAAGCATTTTGAAAAAGTCACAATGGACAGCTTCAGCCCTCGAAGCAAAATTTAGCAATCCCTAGGTGTGGGAGAATTCAATTTCCAGAGTTACGGTAACATACTACTAGAGTATCCAGGTCTCAACAAAAACTTACAAAGCATATAAATAAATAGGAGAGTATGGCTCATTTACAGGAAAAAGAATTTGATAGAAACTCATTGATAAATTTTGTAACTGAAAAGTACAATAACTGAAATGAAAGATTCATTATCACTAGACTCACAAAAGTCCATTGCTTTCTTATATATCAGCAGTGAACGATTAAAAAATATCACAGTAGTACCAAGAAGGAGAAAAGAAAAATATCTATGTGAGGAAACCATTAAAACTCTGATGAAATAAAGATCTAAATAAACGGAGAGATTCCAGGTACATGGATAGGAAGACACGATATTGTCATGATGTCAGTTCTTCCTGACTTGATCTATAGAATGAACAAAATTCCAATAAAAATCCCAGCAAGTTATTTTGTTGATATCAACAAACCGATCCAAAAGTTTATATGGATTCTATCTTACGTGTTCTCAAATGTTTATATTTCAAAAAACCTCTACCTCTACACACATACAGAAAAGCAAAAGACCAACAGCCAAGACAATACTGCAAAAGAACAGTCTAAGGACTGACATTACTCAACTTCACGATATACTATAAAGGTACAGCGATTGAGACAGGTATGGTATTGGCAACACTTACCCTGAATAGACAAGAGATCAATGGAACAGAATAAGCCCAGAAATAGACCCACGTAAATATAGTCAACTGATCTTTGACAAAGGAGCAAAGAAAATACGATGGAGAAAAGGTAATCTACAACAAATGGGGCTGGAACAACTGGACATCCACATGCAAAAAACCCTAGACAGTTCTTACACCACAAGAATTAACTCAAAATGGATCTTAGTCAACTGTAAAACACAAAATGCAAAACTCCTAGAAAATAACAGTGACATGGGAGAAAATCCAGGTGACCTTGCGTTTGGTGATGACTTTTTATTTAAACAACACTAAAAGCATGATCCATGGAAGAAAATTTTATAATTTGGACTTCATTAAAATTTTATAACTTGGACTTCATTAAAACTTCCGCTCTGTGAAAAATGCTGAGAATGAAAAGCTTTGCAAAAACGTATTTCATAAAGAACTGATATCCAAAACATACAAAGAACTCTTAAAATTAAAAAATAATAAAACAATTTAAAAAAACAGGCAAAAGTCTGAACACACACCTCACCAAAGGAGATACACAGATGGCAAAGAAACATATGAAAAGACGTTTGACATCATGGAATCGGAGAAGTGTACGTTAAAATAGCAATGAGATACCACTACACACCTACTAGAACGGCCAAAATCCAGAACACTGACAACACTGAATGCTGGAAAGGATGCGGAACAACAGGAATCTCATTCGTTGCTGATAGGAATGCAAAATGGTACACTTTGGCAGTTTCTTACCAAGCTAAACAGCAACTGTGCTCCTAGGTATTTACCTAAGTAAGTTACACACATTTGTAGTGATTTATAATTGCCCCCAAAATTGGGAGCAGTGAAAATGTTCTTTAATGGGAAACTATACGATATGAAGGGGTCTGTGGAAACTTTCCATCCACATGGCTCCCTGACAGTTATGAGAAAAGTAGAAATTCACCAAAGTTTACTGAAATTTATCAGCCTCTTCATCAATTCCTCCCCTGGATGCTGAAAATGTTCCACCAGACACTAAATTTCCAAAATATTTGCTTCAGCTCAGCTCAATTGTTTCATTGGAGGGTTGGATTTCTGGAGTTTTCTGCCGTCTTCCCTCAAACAACACTCTTAAACAATCAATGGGTCAAAAAAGAAATCACAAGGGAAATTAGAAAAACTTGAGGCTGAAGATGAAAACACAACATATCAAAATTTATGGGATGCAGCAAAAGTTGTACTGAGAGGGAAATTTATAGTCATAAATACCTACATTAAAAAAAATCTAAATAACCCCACTGTATATTTTAAGGAAGTAGGAAAAGAAGAGCAAAGTAAAGCCAAAGTTAGCAGAAGGAAGGAAAAAATAAAGATTAGATTAGATATAAATTAGATAGAAAATAGAAAAATGGGAGAGTATGATTCATAATAAATACATATTCGGTCTTCCATATACCCCTGGCTCAAAGATCCTAAAACCCTTGGCATTTCCTGTGATGACACTGATAGAGGTACCTTTTATTATGTTACTTAGATGGCTTTTGGAAAGCTCCTGCGGATGGGGACTGGTTGCTAGTGGAGCCAGCCCTTTGATTAGAGAGTTGGAACCTTCAGTCCCACCATCCACCATATACCTTCTGGAAGGGGAGGGGGGCTGGAAATTGAGCCCAATCACCAATGCCCAATGATTTAATCAATCGTGTCTATGTATTGAAGCCTCCATAATAACCCAAAAGGATGGGGTTCAGAGAGTGACTGCGCTGGTGAACATGTGGAGATGCTAGGAGACAGATGTGCCCAGAGAGAGCATGGAAGCTCTGTGCCCCTCCCCACCCCTTGCTCTGTGCGTCTCTTCCATCTGGCTGTTCTGAGTTATGTCCTTTCATAATAAAACAGTAATCTAGTCAGTAAAATGTTTCCCTGAGTTCTGCTTTAGCAAATGTATTTAACCTGAAGAGGGGGTCGTGGGACCCTCTAATCTATAGCCAGTCTGTAGCACAAGGGACAACCTGGACTCATGTTTGGCATCTGCAGTCGAGGGAGGAAAACCTAGCCCTTAACCTGTGAGATCTGATGCTATCTCCAGGTAGGTAGTTTCAGAATTGAGTTGAATTGGACACCCAGCTGGTGTTGGAGAATTGCTTGGTGGTATGGAATAAATACACACATTGGAACTGGTATCAGAATCCTAAAAAAAAATAGAGAAAATCAACAAAACCAAAAGCTTGTTCTTTGAAAAGATCAACAAAATTGACAAACTTTTAGATAAATTGACTAAGAAAAATCAGAAATGAAAGTAGGGACATTTCTATCAATTTTACAGAAATAAAAAGGATTATAAGGGAATATTACGAGTAACTACACCAACACATTGGATAACCCAATTAAAATGGATAAATTTCTAGAAACACAGAAACTACCAAAACTGACTCAAGAAGAAATGCAAAATCTGAATAGATTTATAACTAGTAAGGGGATTGAATAAATATTTTTTAAAACTCCCCAAAAAGAAAAGTCCAGGGCCAGCTTCACTGGTGATTCTACTAAATATTTTAAAAAAGAACACCAAAAAGACATCAACTACATTGTAAAAAGGCAACCCACAGAATGGGATAAAGTACTTTCAAATCATATCTCTGATAAGGAATAATATCCAGAATGTATAGAGAACTTCTAAAACTAAACGACAACACAACAAAACAACCCAATCCGAAAATGTGCCAAAGTCTTGAACAGACATTTCTCCCAAGATTTACAAATGGCCAATAAGCACATGAAAAGATGCTCAATATCACTAATCATTAGTGAAATGCAAATCAAAACTACCATGCGATACCACTTCATACCCATTAAGATAGCTACTATAAAAAAAAAAGTGTTGGGAAAGATTTAGACAAATTGGAACCTTCGTGCACTGTTGATGGAAATGTGAAATGGTACAGCTGCTCTGGAAAACAGTACGACAGTTCCTCAAAAAAATTAAAATAGAATTGCCATATTTAGCCATTCCGCTTCTGGGTATAATCCAAAAGAATTGGAAGCAAGCTCTCAAAGATATTTGTGCATCCATGTATATAGCAGATTATGCACGATAGCTGAGACATGGAAGCAACCCAGTGTGTATCGACAGACGAACGAATAAGCAAAGGGGGGTATGTACTTACAGTGGAATATTTACTTGGCCTTAAAAAGAAGGAAATTCGGTAATATGCTACAATATCGATGGACTTTGAAACATTCGGTAAGTGAAATGGCCAGTCACAGAGAATCTGACCCTGGTTTCTCTACCTAGTACAAAGAACTCTTAAATGTTTATTGAATGAAAACACACACTACCACTTCATATCCACTAGGATGGGTATAATTTGTTTAAAAAAGGAAAAACCAATGTTGGCCACAATGTTGAGAAATAGAAATTTTGTACATTGCTGGTGGAAAACATTTTGTTGGTCCCTCAAAAAATTAAACACAGAATTACCATATGACCCAGCAATTTTTCTCCTAGGTGTATACTCCAAAGAATTGAAAACAGGAATTCAAATACATGTTGAAGAATGATCACAGAAGCACTATTCATAATATGCAAAGGAAACAACTCAAATGTAATTAACAGGTGACTGGATAAACAAATGGTGACCTATGCCTATAATGGAATATTATTCAGCCATAAAAAGGAATGAAGTACTGATACACGCTACAGTTTGGATAAACCTCAAAAATCCAAACTGCTAAGTGAATAAAAAAGATACCAAAGATCATGTTTTGTATGATTCCTTTCAGATGAAATATTCAGACTAGGCAGATCTCTAGAGACAGAAAGAATATAAGTGCTTGCCAGAGGATTAGGGTGGGGGATGGGCAGGGATGCTTTAATGTGGTGGGGTGTTCCTCAGTGAGTTATAAAAAAGTTTTGAAACTAGAGAGATGTGGTGCTTGCACAATGCTCTGAACACACTAAATGCCACACTTTGAATAGTTGTTTTAGTGTTATATGAATTTTACCTCTATTAAAAAAAAAAAGAGAGAGAGAAAATAGAGAAAATCAACAAAACCAAAAGCTTGTTCTTTGAAAAGATCAGCACGACAACAGCTGGTGGAAAACACTTTGTTGGTCCCTCAAAAAATTAAACAGAAAAAAAAAAACCATGATAGCGCCTGGGTTAGCTATCGTAGAGTTTTATGGGGAGCTGTGGTCCATCCTCCAGAGAACGGGTCCCAAATTCCTAAGAAGGCAAAATGACCATCTGGAGGTGAAAGTTACATGGGACCTCTCTGTGCGTTTTTGTTTTGTTTGTTTGTTTTTTTTAACAGTACGAAGGGTTTTTATTGGCTGCAACGGGAAGTAGAACAGGAGGGGATCCGACAGCTCTGGCTCCCGGGCGGTTTTACAGACTCTGTCGCTACCCTCCAAAAGCTCTGTACTATTTTTGCAACTTCCTTTGAGTCTATAATTATTTCAAAATAAAATTTTAAAGGAAAAATAAGGACACACGTGCTCATGGTTGCACCATGCCTCCCACTCTCAAGGCTGGCACTCGGAGACTGACGGCCCTCTCTGAAGTCTGGGACTGACCCTTGACTGGACACCCAGGACTGTCGTCCTGCTCTCTGTCCTGGTCTGGCAGCTGTGGGCAGGGAGGAATCCTTATTCTCTGAGGAGATAGCTCAGGGCCCAGCAGGCACTCTCAAAGATGCCAGCCTCCACCCAGGTCTGTGCTTTGGCCCCTGGGGGTGGGTCAACATAACCATAAACTCCCACAGCCTTGGGGCTGGGACGAGCTCTGCTCTCTAGGGTCTCTCAGTCTCTGTGTGGGAGACAGCAGGCCCCCAGGCGAGTCCTCAGGACAAAGAACTGCCACCAGCACTCTGGGCAGGAAGCCCATTCAGGCAGTGGCACCTGAGGGGCACAGGGGCCTGAGGGTTGGGACACCTAGGAAGGCATAGGAGACTTGTATGCTGCCCACATGGGTCCCTCCCATGGCCTGCCCCCTACTTGCTCCCCCAGAGGCCAAACAGAGCTCCCGCCTCCCCTGTGACCCAGAGCTGCCAGGCGAGGCTGCCCAGTGCCGGCTGGAGGCAGGATCAGGAACCAGGTCGGAGTCTAGTTTCACTTTCAGTTTTGTTTTCTCCAGAAATGACAGAGAAACCAAGAAGAAAGCTATCACCAGCAGCGTCCTTCACTCCCTTAGCCTCAGTGCCTGTTTGCACCAGCCACAGCTGGGCACTGGCATCTGCTGGCACCACCTCCCACAGGGACCCTACCTATAAGCTCTGCAACCCACTGTCCAGCCCCAGCCCTCGGGATGGATGTCCTGGAGACCTCCAAGTTGCTGGATGAGGGCCGGTATTCACGGCAGCTGTGAGGCCCGAGGTAGGGAGGGGAGCGGGGTAGACTTTTGAGCTCCGATCTCCAGTTGACCGCCCTCTTATTTCCCATCCGCAGGTATGTGCTGGGCTTGCCAGCCATGCAGAGGCTTCAGGAGGCTAAGGTCCTGCTGTCGGGTCTTCAGGGCCTGGGGGCTGAGGTGGCCAAGAACCTGGTCCTCATGGGTGTGGGCAGCCTCACTCTGCATGATCCCCACCCCACCTGCTGGTCCGACCTGGCTGCCCAGGTGAAGGTCCTGGGGGGTTATGGGTTCTCAGACCTGGGGGTAGGGCCCAAGAGATATCTCCTTGCTCAAGCCGGTCTGGGTCTCTCTCTAGTTCTTCCTCTCGGAGCAGGACTTGGCGAGGAGTAGGGCCGAGGCATCTCAAGAACTTCTGGCCAAACTCAATGGAGCTGTTCAGGTTCACGTCTACACAGGCGACATCACTGAGGAGCTGCTGCTGAACTTCCAGGTGCCCTCCCAGCCCCACTCTCCATGCCAGCCCAGTCCCCTTCTCCAGCCCATAGGTGCAGAGTAGGCTGGGCAGTGGTTCTGGCCCTGCTGACCATCAAGTCCACCCAGGTGGTGGTGCTGACTACCTCGAACCTGGAGGAACAGCTGAAGGTGGGTACCTTGTGCCACAAGCACGGAGTCTGCTTTCTGGTGGCTGACACCCGGGGCCTCGTGGGGTAAGTGAGACTGCCTGCCTAAACTGCCATATCACAGACGGCTGTCCCGAGAGCCAGGCTTGCTCGAGTGCCCCTGCACCCAGCCCCACGCCTATCCCAGCATCCGCTCCTGATTCTGGTCTCAGTCCCGCCCCTCTGCTTCCGTCACCCCAGCCTCCCAATCTGCTCCAGTAACTCTCTCAAACTCCGGCTCCCCAGCCTCTCCCAGCATTCTGGCCCTCTTGGCTTGCCCTGCTGTCCCCTGCCTTTTGTCATAGTCATGTGGTTAACCACTTAACCATCTCCGTGACACCTACCGCCTCATCACAGGCAGTTGTTCTGTGACTTTGGTGAGAACTTCATTGTGGAGGACCCTACAGAGGCAGAACCTATGACAGCTACCATTCAGCACATCTCCAAGGTGGGCACTAAGGTGTGGGCCAAGGAGGGGCTGCCAGAGGCTGTGGAAGGCAGGTACAGGCAGCCCTGAGCCAAGCCACCTTTTCTCCAGGGCTCCCCTGGCATTCTCACTCTGAGAAAAGAGGCTGATGCCCACTACTTCCATAATGGGGATTTGGTGACTTTCTCGAGCATTGAGGGCATGGTCGAGCTCAACCACTGTGATCCCCGGCCTATCCACGTGCAGGGTGAGCCAACCCCACTCCAACTCTAGGTCCAGGGCCCAAGCTCCCGTTGGGGGCAGATGCAGCCTGGTCCTTGGGGATGGGTTCTGCCTCTGCCTTCCTCAGGGTGGAGCGAGATCAAGAACACAGATGCAAGACAGGATGGGGTGTGGGAAACTACTCAAGTTCAGAGGTCATGCTAACTAGGCCGGACCTCCCCCAGAGGACGGGACCTTGGAGATTGGAGACACATCAAATTTCTCCTGTTACTTGCGTGGCGGGGCTGTCATTGAGGTCAAGAGTTCCCAGACTGTGAGCCATGTGAGTGTGCGAGCGTATCTGAGGTGGGGCGCTCGGGAGCCTTGAGGGACCTGTCCCTGAGACTAGTGACACCTGCAGGAGCCCTTGGATGCAGCTCTGCTCCAGCCCCGTGTGGTGGCCCAGAGTTCCCAGGAAGTTCACCGAGCCCACTGTCTGCATCAGGCCTTCCGTGCACTGCACAAGTTCCAGCAGCTCAGTGGCCGTCCGCCCCAGCCCTGGGATCCTGTGAGTGGCCCCACAGCTCCTGCCCCCTCACTGTCTCATCAGCATCTCAGCTGCCCAGAGGCAACAATGGCTATCTCACAAATCCAAGTTTGAATTCAGACCCAGTTTCCCACTCATATAAAGGAGATGATAAACATCTCCAGACCAGAGGCTGAGACCCCAAAAGTATCAGGCACAAAGCCTGGGGACCCCCGCTACCTCTTAACTGCTCAGATCTGGGCTGGAAGCTGCACCCAGGTCTGGCACTGGGCATCCTCTGGTGAGGGTGCATCGTCTGCTCCCTACTTAGGCTTCTGCTTCTTTTTCTGTGGAACAGTGAGGTGGCTGCCTGAAGGATTTGAGTGGGGGAGTGGAGCTCAGGCCGGGGCTGCTGTGCCCACAGAGTCCTACCCCACAGGCTGATGCAGAGAGAGTGGTGGGCCTGGCTCGGGCCCTGGAACCACTGAGGGGGACAGAAGGAGAGCCATTGGAAAAGCCGCTGGATGAGGCTCTCGTGCGGACAGTCGCCCTGAGTAGTGCTGGTGGCCTGAGCCCCATGGCAGCCGTGCTGGGTGCAGTGGCTGCCCAGGAAGTGCTGAAGGTGGGCACAGGCACAGGCAGGGTGGGGCTGGGAGGGGTGCAGAGGCCACTGTGGGTGCCAGACAGTGACTCTGGAGGCTTCACCAACCTGGGTGCAGCCCCCAGCCTGGATCTGAGGGGTTAGGACGTGGCAGCAGTCCCTAGACTAAAGTTATGGCCTCTAGGCAGTCTCCAGGAAGTTCATGCCCCTGGACCAGTGGCTGTACTTCGATGCCCTTGACTGCCTCCCGGAAGATGGGGAGCACCTTCCCAATCCCGAGGACTGCTCACCGGTGAGAACCTGGGGTAGGGGTGCACGCCTCATCCAAACTCATGACTAGGGTAGAAACAGGAGGAACAGTCCCGAAAGTCCTGACCCAGAAAACTCAGTGTGAGAGGGATGTGCAGCACAGGACAGCGGCCATCACTGACCTATGTCTCTGTCTCCTAGAGATGCTGCCGCTACGATGGGCAAATCGCGGTGTTTGGGGCTGGTTTTCAGGAGAAGCTGAGCCATCAGCACTACCTCCTGGTGAGCTGTGTGGTGAGACTAGGAGCGTCTGTGGAAGGGCCGAGCCAGGCCCTCTGGCTAAGGCTGCTCCTGCTGGCAGGTGGGTGCTGGTGCTATCGGCTGCGAGCTGCTCAAAGGCTTCGCCCTGGCGGGCCTGGGGGCCGGAGGCAGCGGGGGTGTGACTGTCGCTGATATGGACCATGTTGAGCACTCCAACCTCAGCCGTCAGTTCCTCTTCAGGACCCAGGACATTGGCGTGAGTGCCTGCCCCTGCCCCACCCCGTGGCCCTGGACTGCCCTCCCACAAATCCCCTCGCCGCCCATCCAGCATCTCCCTCTTTTCTTCTCAGAGGCCCAAGGCAGAGGTGGCTGCAGAGGCCGCTCACCGCCTGAACTCAGACTTGCGGGTGACCCCGCGCACCGACCCTCTGGATTCCACTACAGAGCACATCTATGGGGACGAATTTTTCTCGCGTGTGGATGGCGTGGCTGTCGCCCTAGACAGTTTCCAAGCCCGTGAGTGCTCAGCCTTGGAGCTCAGACCCTTGTCTAAAGCCATGCCAGCCCCACTCCTGACCCTCTGCCCGCCTTCCAGGGCGCTATGTGGCCGCTCGCTGCACCCACTATCTGAAGCCACTGCTGGAGGCAGGCACACAGGGCACCCGGGGCAGTGCTTCAGTGTTCATACCGCATGTGACTGAGGAATACAGAGCTCCCGCCTCGGCTATTTCTGAGGATGCCCCATATCCTGTCTGCACTGTGCGGTACTTCCCCAGCACAGTTGAGCATACCCTGCAGGTGGGAAGCACCCCAGAGACCCCGATCCCCCGCCCCTTGGCTCAGTTCTCAGCTACAGACCTGTTCCCCACCTGACACCTTATGGTTCCTCTCTCCCCAACAGTGGGCCCGGGATGAATTTGAGGGGCTCTTTCGTCTGTCTGCCGAGACCATCAACTGCCAACAGTAAGGCCACCAATAAGAGTGGATGGGAGTCCAGGATCCCCAGCACCAGAGTCTTCAGGGCTTAGTCTCAAACTTCCGTCTCTGCAGGGCACTTACTTCACTGGCAGACACGGACGGGCCAAACTTGCTGACGCTGCGGCAGGTGGTGCTGGGTGCCCTCAGAAGTCGTCCACGGACCTGGCAAGACTGTGTGATGTGGGCCCTTGGTCACTGGCAACTAAGCTTCCATTACGGCATCACGCAGCTACTCAAGCATCTCCCGCCTAATAAAGTGGGTGGCTAGAGGTCAGGAGGCTGAGGGCTCAAGGGGACCAGACTGAGCCCGGCAGCCTCCATTTGTAATCTCCTCTTCTTAAGGATGGAACACGTTTCTGGTCGGATCCCACACAGTGTCCCCAGCCTCTGGAATTTGACGCCAATCAAGTGAGTGGGAGGTCTCTTGGGAGTCCCAAGATGGGAACGTGGCCTCAGAGAACAGAAATGGGCACCTCTGCATTCTGTAGAGATGCTCAGGTGCTGGGACACAGAGCCATGTTTGGGCACATGTGGGTGTCCACACATGAGGCAGAGGCAGGCACTCAAACGGATCCACAAAAGGGCAGTGACCCCCATCGTGTGCACCCACACATGCTCACTCGCCCCCATGCATTTGCCCCTGCTCTTGGTCTGACTACAGGACATGCACGTCCTCTACGTGCTGGCGGCAGCTAACCTGTACGCCCAGATGCATGGGCTGCCTGGCTCACAGGACCAGCCTGCGCTCAGGGAAATGCTGAAGTTGCTGCCGCTGCCTGGCCCCCAGGACCTGGCCCCCATCTTTCCTAGTGACCTGGCTTCTGCTAAGCTTGGTGAGGTCCCTGGCCCTGCCTCCCCCGTGCTGCCACCCAAAGGCCTGACCCTGTCCTCAGCCTGTGCCATAAAAGGAAGAGGGGGCCTATGGACCCTGAGGGGAACTCACTATCTCTCAGGCCCTCTGACCTTGCTTCTCTCTCATCCTCTGGCCCCTCAGGAGGCCCTCTCCCTGCTGCCTACCCCATCCCCAGCCCCTAGTCCCTTAACAGATTTTCAGCAGAAAAGCACAAACCATTGGGCCCTGGGGAGCAGTTAGCTATGGTGCCCAGGTGAAGACAGAGTCACATAGCACACATGAATGCATACAGATACACATAACATGCACACACGCACACACACACACACACACACGCATATACACGGAGAAGGAGGGTGGGCTGGAGCTGCTGCGGAGGAGACAGCAGCATCAATCAGAGGTCTTCCTGAAAGTGGTGGAGACCATAGGTCTTGGCAGAGACCAAGAAGAGGCCCCAGGCTCCGGCGAGAGTGCAGGAGATAGGGGCTGAGGACTGCCCTAAATAGCTCCTTCCCCTGACAGGCCCTGAGCAGGTGCAGAGATTACATGAAGCCCTGAAAGTCTGGAGTGTGGATGCCCCGCTGAGGCCCCTGAAGTTTGAGAAGGTAGGAGCCCAAGTGGGGGTGTAGAGCCGGGCTGGGGGGATTGCGGGAAAGGTCAAGAGCTAAGAGGGTAGCTTTGGAGCCCCCTGGCCTGAGTACTTCTCCCAGCAGGACCCCAGAAGCAGCTCACCTTCCCTGAGCCAAAGTTTCCTCCCTTATCTGATAAGTAGGGAGCTGTGGGCATCCACAGAGAGAACTGTGGGAAGATCTGTGCAGTGGCACATGGTCAGCCATGGTGAGGGGCACGGAACAGTGTTAATGCTACTGTAACTTGGGCCTCACAGGATGATGACAGCAACTTCCATGTGGACTTTGTGGCGGCGGCGGCAAGCCTGAGAGCTCAGAATTATGGGATCCCACCAGCTAACCGCGCCCAGGTAACCCTGCTGGGGCTCCAGCCTGGAGGTCTGGGTCAAAATCTAGCCCTACATCCTGGGCCCAGACCAAATCTCTTGTCCTTGACAGAGCAAGAGAATCGTGGGCCAGATTATCCCAGCCATTGCTACCAGTACCGCGGCTGTGGCGGGCTTGGTGGGCTTGGAGCTGTACAAGGTGGTGGGCGGGCCACGACCCCTCAGTGCCTTTCGCCACAGCTATCTGCACCTGGCTGAAAACTACTTCAGCCGCTGGGTGCCTTGCGCCCCAGCCATCCAGAAGGTGAGCCCCTGAC